CGGGCCCGCTTCTCATCAACCCTCGGTGTCCTCAAAGTGCATACGTTGCATACACCGGCCAATCGATATTTTAATATTGTCAGCGCGACCAGGGATAAAAGCCTTTGTCGTATGGAACTTAAGCGGCCGTCGTGGTCCCCCGCTCCCCCGCGCCATCGCACAACGGCTGTAGCCAGAAGGGTAGCCACAGCACTGCTACGGGGGATTCTTCCGTACAGTTTAAAAAAATCCGTCTCTCTCTCTCTCTCTCTCTCTCTCTCTCTCTCTCTCTCTGTGGTGTGTCTGTGTGCGTGTGTGTGTGTGTGTGTATTTCGTGGCGAGGTCGATTAGGTGAGCGGACGCGGCGTATGGGCAGGGACGCGGACGGGCGAACGGATTCTCTAGCCGCGCAATCGGCTCGGTCGTCGCAGCACGCCTTTGAGAGGAGCGGCAAAGCTGTCGAGAGCCAGGGCGAGACCGAGAATCGTCGAGGGGACCTCGAGTGAGTGCGCCGCGTGAAATCTGCCGTGAAAGGGTCGCCGGAGTGGGTATATCCGGGCGAGATGACCAGGGAACGCGAGCCTCCTAGACAATGGCGTCGGCCTTCCGAGCGATTTGATGGCTAATAGCGGCGAGCCGATGACGATTTCGCCTCGGCCAATTTCGGGAGAAAAACGCTCCGGTCACTGGCCAGGACAAAGGCTCGGCGCCGACTTCTTCTGCCTCGGGGAGCGCGTTCTCTGGGGGCGCCGAGCCCAAGTTGGGGGGGGGGGGGGGGGGGGGGGGTTAAGGGCCGTGTTCGCTTCGCAGCCGCTTTGTTTTAACGAAGCACAGTGTTATTGACTCCCATCTAAAGAATACAAGAGAGCCGGGAGTGCAATTTTTATTGGTCTGATTTTTCATCTTCGTCTACATCTCCTTCTTCTCCCTCTTGGTCCCTTCTGTCCAAGAACGCCGAAAATTTATGCAAACACGGGACGAACAATGGGAAAAGCGGTGCGCGCGTGCTGGAGAAAAAAAAACCGTGAGCGTGAATTAAAGAATTGATTTAAAGAGTAAGTAGCGGTCGAGAGTTGGGACACAAAAGAGAGGCTCGATGCTTTATTTCTGTATTGGCGTAGATTTCATAAAAATAGATCACGAGTTATGGTAAGACTATGGAAATGAGTTTACTCGAAAATGAGAGGCACGCGCTGGAGTCCGAGGACGAAAATAGATGGCTATCCGTTGGATAGGGGGGG